GATGACGATGGATGGATGGATGGATGGACAAATGAATATTATCAGTCATGGATTGACCTCCTTGGAGCTGTTATTGAAGCATTGTGGGATCATCTTGACAAAGAACAGAACCAGACGCCAACATTCAAAGAATAGCTTGAAGAAGAAGCCTGGAGAACTATTCCTGAAGACTGCTTGAAGAAATCACTAGAAAGCTCACCTAAGACAGTTTAAGCTCTGCTAAAGAATAAACACAGTCATACCAACTATTGACTTTAACCTCATTAGGATTGTGCAAACTCTTATCTACTGTATTTCCACGTATGTTTGGACGTGTTTCAATTAATTGCTGCACCTATCTCCGATTTTTCTAGCAAAATAAACAGAAAAAAGGGTTTGCTCAAAACTTGTGACGTGTTGTATACACACACACACATACACACACACACACACACACACACACACACACACACACACACACACACACACACACTACTGCTACTTTCCCTTTCCTAATATTGTGCTTTTACTAATGCTGGCTCCCTGGTTTCCTGACTTCACATACTGATACATACGCATGCACACAGACCCATAAAGAGAGACAGTGACCGTTTGTGATGGTAGGCGATTAGCTGCTCTGGCGCTAATTGTGACTTTCACAGAGGGGACAGATCTGACATGTGTCCAGGGACTCAGCTCAGAGCTTTTGCTCCAAAGTGTCACAGAAAACGATGCCATCTGTTCACCGACAAGGTGGCCACGGAGATGAAAAGAAAGTGGGGCAAATGTGTGTGCAGTCCTGCCACATATACTGTATAACTGAGTGTGACTGGCTTGTAAGGGCAATTAAGACAAAGGCACAGTGAAAATGTATTTACGTGTGCATAAATAGATAGTGAATTAATGACAGGGGGAGAAGAGAACGACAGAAGCTGAGAGTAAGAAATGAAGAGACGGGAAACAAGACGGGGGATGTGATTAGAGAATCAGAGTACATAAATTGCATTTGCTTCGTAGGATCTTTGATAGATTAGAGAGAACTGATCAACTTATCTATTTTATGTTTATCACAGAAGCAGTGTTATTTTGATTGCTCAGAGCCGTTAGTGGTAACTTTTCTTTTAGCGACTGAGTTTTTAAGAAATATCAGACATATAACTCATTAAATCCAAATGTTAAGCAAAGAATGTTGAATAAAAAACAACTCCTTTGCTTGTCTGGTTTAATTAGTAACATCAGCAGTGACACAATTGATCTCTAAATAAAATGATTAGATAAAATAGAAATATTCATCCGTGTTAAGCCGCATGTATCTTTGATGTACTTCTAAATGTTATTTTTGTGAGTAAGCTTATCTATTGTGTCTCTCATCTCATGCTAATTAACGAGATGATAGGTGTGGTTCAGCTCAGTCCTTTGAGGAACCGGCTTAGCTCAAGGCCTCTGACCGATGAAGAGACGAGCGGCAGAAATGCTCAAGTCAGCAACGCTGTCTCATCAACGCTAAATGAAAATGTGCTGATTAATTTCTCTTCAAACTGTGAACTCTCAATCAACCCTCGAGCCACAAAAATGCAGCCTCTATTCATAAATGTGAAAAGTAGGTCTGCTGCAAGAACAAACCTCATAAAAATTGCATGCTTGTTTTGCTCTTTATAAAACAGACTGCATTTTGAGACTCTTCAAGTAAAACAACGACGACGCAATTAAAGTGTTTTCTTTCTTTGCTTTGTTGTGGTTTTCTCTTTGCCTCTTTTGCTGCTGACCTTTTTTTCTTTTCCACCCACAGTTATTCAAATTCATGTTTTAACAATCCACTTAACCTTCGCTTGTTTCTCATCTATCCCTTCGTTGTGTCTGTGCTCAATTCATGATTCGAATTCTTGCAGGTGCAATCCGACTATGATCGGCTGAGACAGACTTTTGCTGTAGTGAGTCAGGAGAGAGACGTGGCCCAGGAGCAGAGGAGCCAACTCCAGGAAAAAGTGGATAACCTGGAACACGTTTTAAAGGTGGGACAAATTTTTTTGCCTTAATAATATCAGATTTGAGATCCTCTGTGCTATTTGACCACACATAAACCCCTGGACTAAAGATTTCACTCATTTCTTGTATAAATTTTATTGTCTTACCTACTTTTCGCACAGATTTCAGATGTAATTACCTGTAATTATTATTCAGTTTCTGTGCATTTATTTGAATCTAAATTTAGTTCAACAGACCACTAAACAATCTGTAAAGTCAACCACACACCTGTTGTACCTATGAGTAGAAGATGTGATGACCCAAGCCTAAACCACCTTTTCTTGCTTCTTTTTCTCCATTACATCAATCCATCTCACTCCATTTCTCCAGCATTCCCATCTTCTTCATAGTCCAACATGTGTTCACTTCAGTAGTCCTCACACCAGTCACGATAACTGATTTTTCAGGCCCAGTTTTACTGTCACTCTTTCGGAAATATTCCCATTTCCCATGCATTTGTGTCCTCAGAAAACCTGAGAAGGAAACTGAGGCAATACATGAGGTGTAGTGTCACCGGCTTCATGGAAAGGCTGTTTTCTTTATTGTGTTCTGGTCTGCCAATAGTAATCAGACACAGTCTCGCTGCACTGCGAGAGGGACTCTCATTACAAATCCTCGCCTCCCTGCATCTCCTATCGATTGTGTGTCTGTCAGGATATTTGAGAGCGAAATGTACCCGCATGAGAAAAACTGACCAGCTCCCCGATACAGCAGAGAAAGCTTTGTCACTTTCTCATTGTGCATTGATTATGGAGACAAAGAAATAATTTAGAGAAAATTACACAGGATAATGTGGGTGGAGAAAGCAGAGATGGTAGAAACACAGTGTGAAAGAACAGAAAAAGACCTGGTTCAAAACTAATGAGATGCAGCACTGTCTGTGTTATTTTTAATCATATAATCTGATAACAAAAGTTTTCTTTTTGTTGTTTGTTTTGGTCAAAGTCTGGTATACAAGTTAGAACACAAGGTGGGAGGAAATAATTATTTGATCCCCTGCTGAATTTGTGAGTTTGCTCACTTACAAATAAATGAAAAGTCTCCAATTTTTATGGTAGTTCAGCGTTAATGCAGGCAGACAGAATATCAACCAATTATCCAGAAAAGAATAGACATTTGATCCTCTTCAACCCAGCCTGAATTCTGGCTCTCACCGATTGGCTGTGTTTGGGTCTGGAGCTCCATGCAAGATCCTGATGAGAATGATCGTGAGAAAGGTGGTGGATCAGACCAAAACTACATCGGAGGTGTTTGTTAATATTCTAAAGGCAGTTGAGACCACAGTCACCGAGGACACCAATGGTAACACACTTTGGCATAATGGATTAAAGTCTTGAAGCAACTGTAAGGTCCCCCTGCTCAAGGCCACATGTACAGGCCCGACTTAAGTTTGCCAGTGAACATCTAAATGATCCAGAGAAGGCTTGGGAGGCAGTGCTGTGGAGAGATGAACTCAAAATCAAGCTCTTTGGCATCAACTTGTTTGCCATACACGGAGGTGGAAACATATTCTTTTGGGACGTTTTTCTCCAGAGGGTGCAAGACAACTTTACCACATTTAGGGGCCAGTGGTTTGGGCCTCGTACCACGAAATCTTGGATGAGAACTTAGACAGCAAGAACACTAAAGATGGGTTGTGGATGGATCTTTCAGCATGGTAGTGACCCAAACCATACCACCAAGGTACCATAGGAGTGGGTAAAGAAGGAAAACTTCAAGGTCATGATCTCTTAGCCCTGCGATGTTTGGAAACCTGGTAACCAACTACAAGAAATGCTGCTGTGCTTGCCAACAAGGGTTTCTCCATAGAGTACTAAGTCATGTTTTCCTCATTTCATTCAATGTCATGCAAATCAATTTATAATTTTCACATAATTTGTTTTTTCAGGATCTTTGGTTACTATTCTGTGTATTCATTACAATGGAACTACTATAAAAATGAGAGACTGTTAATTTCTCTGTGAGCAAACATACAGAGGATCAAACACTGCCGTCTTTAACCTCCTAAGACCCGAACTCTTCCACGACATGCATTTTTAATTTCTCTTTGATATTTGGGCATATTGGGACCCAATGAATGTAAAAACAAAGAATTACCAGATTTTTTTTTTTACCTTATTTTTGTTTTTAAGAAAAATAAGAGCCACATATGAGGATATTCGTTTAAAACTGCGATAGAACAGTAGCAGTATAATGTCCCCGTAAGTGGATATCAGGCCCTTGCAGAGCAAAATTGAGTATTTTGGTCTAAATAACCCAAAATGTGATGTCCACATATGTGGACGTCAGGTCCTAAGAGGTTAAAGCGAGCAACCAATTTAACTAGGAAACAGATTTTTTTTAAAAAGAAAAAACCCCACTATATTGTATTTAGTAGCTTTTTTTCTTATCTGTGGCCGTGGCTCATGTTACACTTACAAAACAGAGTTTAAGATGGTAAGATTTTCATTGGCAGTGATCAGAAGGGACAGGATTAGAAATGAGAACAAACATATAAACTAAGAATCTGCAGTGACATCAGACCTTTGTTAGACATGTATGTGTGTCAACAGAGGTAAATCCAGAGTGTAGTCTTAAAAATTGTGAATTATAGTATTATAGTATAGTATATAGTATAGAATTATAGCGTTATTATAGTAATGTGATGGAGAGCTGACCATTATCAGGCCGTGATTTATCTTCCAGTTGGATTTTGGGGACCTCCTGGCTTTTGTTTTGGTATACTGTTGACAGATGTTTTTAATTTGCCAGTGTCTTCCTCCTCATTCAGTAGAGACACAACCAGTTTATGGATGTTGACAAGTGAGACTGTCCCGAGGAACAGCCAAAGCATTAGCTCCAAATAAAGTCTGAAACTTCTCAACAGCAATTTTAAGTCAGTTCATAAGACGTCATGAGTTTTATAGGCAGTCAGTTGCATTTTTTTTTTCAGGTGCCTGATGTCACGTGCTTTTAATGCCCAGTTAAATAGAGTCTGTTTTGATTCCTGTCTCTAATAAGTCAGCATCTTTCTTTTGCTGTTTCAATCCAGTCTTAGTCAACTTTTCAAGGCCTCGAGTCCACATCAAGCAGTGTAGGCCTTGGATAACTCTGCAGTAGTCCAAGGGTTGGAGCTGTTTGAAATTGTAATAAGTTAACCAAAGCAGATAAAGTGAAGGATCGCAGATCTTTTTAAAATGACAAAACGAGGTGTTTAAATGCAGGCGTGACCATTGGTTCCCGTGTGAAAAAGCAAGGGTTAAAAAAGCAGTTTCACTAAGGCTCCAGTGACAGCCTCTCAGCTACCCCGGTCCTCTGCAGCTTAGAGCTTCTCCATGATTATGCAAAGCAGCGACTGGCTGCTCAGGACACCTCGAAGCCACTCCCGGAGGTAAAGAAGATTTTCTTTTTTCAAGGGAGAAAGAACAGGGAAAAAAATATGAATGTCAGAGCTTTCTAAGCTGTCTTTTCTTCTTAAGCTCACAGAGACATCCTATGGCCTTAATTCTGTTTCTGCAAGATGTGGCAGCTGGTTGTGACTTCATGCATAGATACTGTACAGTCATGACTTGGCTAATTTGGCAAAGGGTAGATTTGGATCAGGAGCGACTATGCGTGACAGCTTTGTGTAAGTCAGTGCAGACTATAGAGTATGTGTGGTGCCAGAGATATATATGTTACAGAAGCCAGTGTTACTTAATGCTCTTCTCTTCACGTACCTTGCCTCTTAAGTGACATCGTATGTGAGGGTGCAAAATCTTTAAACTTTAAACAACCAACATATAATGTGCTAATTACTAAGCTTAACGGGCTGCTAGTTGGCAGATCTCTAAACTGTCATATAGAAGCAAGCTGTTTTCTTCCACTTCAGCCTTAGATAAACTAGGTGGTAATTGATATTAATATTTTTATCCAACTCTTGGCAACCTTTCAAATGAATTGCTTGGTTTAATCTTTGAGGATTAGGCAATGCTTCACTTCAATTTGTGGGATTTATTACACTGAAGCTGATGCAACAACACTGTGGCTATTCCTATTTTTCAAGCAGTCCTCATTTTTCCTCAGAAATGGATGCAATGTCGCTAAATCAGGTGGACAGGGCTCAGATTCCTCAAAAGCTCTTGCCAGAGTGGTAGAGAGAATAGATTTACTCAATGACATTGAAATGTGAGAATACTGTTTTCAACAAAAGATTGCAGCTGGGTAATTTATTATTTTTGCAGTAGGGTTGGAAATAATCTCTCCTCCTTCTGCTTCCTCTGTTTCTTCCTAGCATATGCATGAGGCTGTAGAGCTAAAGCAACAGTTGCAGACAGAGCATGAGCAAGCCTTGGTGGCCCTTCACACCAAGCAGAAGGAGATCAATCAATTGCAAAAGGTATGTTTAAAAACCGCTTTAAGTCTATACTTTTAATACTTTTGGCAGAATCCCTCCTTGGTTATCAACTTTTGTGTAGTGAATTTATGCCAAAGGTCTTTGTTTGGATAATGATGTGTCTTGAGCCACTTTATGCTGAATCACTGCTACTGTATCAGAAAATACAGATACCTCATATAGCCCGCCCCAAAATCAACAGATGTGATTACAAATGCAGCCATGGTCCCTTTGATCGTGTGATGAAGAACACGGCTAAAAATGCTGCGTTTGTAGTTGCTGATATATTTGTACACATTACAAATATCTTGCAGCATGAAGATCTGACCTGTTGTGGTTGTTTTATTCTTTTTTGATATTTCGTAAAAAAAAGGATATACATGTGCGCATGTGTTCCTGCTTACTGTTTCCTTCGTATGATGGTGACTGAAATAATATCAAATACCTTCTGGATTAGACCACAAGTTTAACATGATGAAAAGTGTCTCTTTCTCGGAAGTCTGTGAGGTTTGTTTGTCTCATTTTGGTCCCATTTTTGCATTGATGTTTGTTCAAAAGAGAATCATTAATGTTCAAAGATGCAGATCATTCAAACTGAGACAAATTGATTTGCACAGTCGCTCAAGAGTGGGTTTAATTTCACTGCCTTTAACAGCCAGTACTTGGACACTAACATGTCCTAAAATAAGCCAGTTGCTTTTTATTGGAGCTGTACCATCAGAAGTAGGCATCTCTTCAAGTACCAGCTCTGTTTGATGAACCAGTGAGCATCCGCCAGGGTATTGCGTTGACAGTATGTCAGCTGTGTACTGTCTATTCTACCTCATGGACCGTGATCACAGTGTCAGCTGTCATTGTGTGTTTCTGTGTGTTCTCTGCAGGCTTGGGTTCAAACTGACCAAGAGCATGAGGAAGCAGTACACCTGTTAGAGGTACAGTAAGCTGAACGAACCCTTATGTTTCCTGGATTGCTGTGTTTCTTAAACATAGTGGAGCTTTCTGTTTTAACCAGGCGAATCAAAACACATCCTTAAGATGGTTCATGTAGTATTGGGTCAGTTTTCCAGATGAAATAAGGGGAAACATGGATAAGTTGGTGATGAAGCTCTCCTTTTTGGAACATATGGAAAAGACTCGAAGCTTGTCTATGTATCAAGTTAGCTGCTGTAAAACATCCTGTCTGGCTCTACTACAGCACCCAGTGCTTTGAACTAGCCTTGAACTTTTAGCTTCAGTTTTAGCTTCATGGTTATTTCCATCTTCTTTTATGGAGCAGGAAGTGGCCATATTTAAATGAGATAGTGGAGTGTTAAATTATAAACTAAGGCCAGTAATCTTGATTGTACATATCATATCTATGGGTGCAGTGTGGAGACTTCTTCGATTGTTTTATAGTATAACAACTGCACAGCAAGCTATATTAATTGTCTGATATATTAAAAGTACTGTAAGAGGCACAAAGACACCACAGAGATGGTCAAAATGTCCAACGCTGGGCTCTAAAAGTGAGAATTTTAGGCTATGTCCACACGTAGGGTGTTTGCTAAAACTGAGATTTTTCTGAGGTCATTTTGAAAAACATCTCAGTCCAAATGTAAATGCAAAGAGCGATCTACTGTCTGTCAAGAACATGCCAAAGCAACAAGCTGCGATATAAACGTAACTGGGAGGAAATGTTAGCTAATCAAAAGCTCACAATCTGACATCAAAAAGGAGATGAAAGCGCACACCTTTGATGTTGCAAGACACAATATAGAGTTTTTCTTTCCAACATTCAATTGTGTAAATGCAGAAACTTGAAGGTTGTTTTTTTTTTTAAAAT